GTAGTCAGTTTGTAGCAGTCCGTTTCTGCGACCTCTATCGCCAGTGCTTTGTCTTACAGTTTTTCTGCCGACCTCACGAGCCTTTTCGATCCACTGCTCGGACCGCTCGAGATCTGACACTAGCCTCGTGAGAATTCGAAGCCAGTAGGCGTTGCGCCACCTGCTAATTGGCCACAGGCAAAAAATTATACACACACTGGGGGCTGAGCATCTTAGCAATGGCATTCGCCAGGTCATAACGTTAGGTGTAACCACCTGCGGTGCTGCGAGTGAACTCTTTGTCTTAGTGAAGGCTTGTCCATCCAACCTTCTGCTCTGTCTGTTGATTTACGAACCTACATCTTGTTAACCACCATACCGCTAAAAGTTCTACGGTTCTAACGCAATACAATCCCACCGAAATCCTAAAAGTAATTGTTCAGAAGTTTATAGTTCACGCAAGCACCCAATGAGCCAAAAGAAGTCGCTAGTCACAGTAAACCCGAATTAAGCAACCTCAGAAAAACAAATTTAGTCACGCATTATGATAAACTAGCAAGACCTATATTTTCATAATGCCTGTCTTTTGTGAAGCGCCTGGTGGAGATGTTTGAGATCAGCCGTCTTCAAATGAAATCTATTTGTAAGCTGGATCGGTAAGGCACGAATATATGAACCCCTCCGCCCAATAATGCAGATGTTCTTGCGCCGAATAGCAGGTTCGGAGGAGTAGGATTAGGGTTAAGGGTAAGAGTTAAATTTTGGAAGAGTAGCGCGAAGCCATTCAATAGTGCTGCCGTTTCACAGTTCTTTATCGAATTGCTAGACCTTATTAAACGGTAAAATATCCCGAGGATCGAAGTAACTTCATCAGTTGTGTTAAAAACGATAATGGCGGAGAACAGCGATATTGGCACGGCAATTTGTAGCCTTTTTTTCCGCTATGTGGATGGGTCAGTGAACAGGCCTTCAACGCCATCATGTTCTCTGGATTGCATCCAATGAGAAGTAGGTTTGCGACGGAATATCAGAGTATTTTGTTTAACACCGTTCAGTGGCCAAAGTGGGAGCCTTAGGCACATCCGGCTGTCTATAACGAATGATCCAGGAACGGTATTCCCTGTCTTCTTAGGTCACATTCATTGACTAGTGATTGACTGTCCCTGTGCGACTGCTCTGTAGCACAACTACTGTATAGCGTCCTGTGGTCAGGACAGATAGGTGAACTACACGCTCCTGTGACTATTTTTTTGTGAGTAAAGAGGTGCAATGAAAAAATAATACCTAATATCGGATCCGAAGATAACTGCATGCTTATTAATTTCGTTTATTTCGTTCCTAGGAAATCCCTCACGAAGAAAAATGAAGGAAATTGAGGAGGTACGTTGCGATACGATTTTTACAGCAAAC